TGTCAGCTGATATGAATTTGATCATTTGTATTTTCGAGAGTAGGCACAGATACGGAGGTGACAGCGCTCACCAGACAAGTTTATCATAAACGTGACATACCTGGCAAGGCTGTGAAAATGACTTTAGTAATGATTTATCCTAGGACAGGTCACAGGAGATTTTTTTTTTTTTGGAAAACAGCCTGTTACTCACAGTGGAACATTATTTCTGCTGTTTTGAATAAATAATAAGGAAATGAACAGCAGGGACCCTGTAGCCTGTCATGATCAGACTGTAATTCCTTCATGGATATTTGTTGAACAAGCCCATGCTGCCATATAATTAAATCTTGTAATGTAGTCCATTCATTTCTGTTTACCTCAGTGTCAATTAATACAATGCATAAGAGAGCCTTAAGCAGATTTCAGTGCTGAGTTTCACTTGAATGGTAAGACAGTATAAATTTGCATTTTGAAGTTTGCTGAAAAGATTTTACACATATGCCGTGCCAAGCCAAAAGCAAACAACTTGCCCAAAGATGCTGATGGGTTAAGTGTGTTCTTTAAAGGTAGGGAATGTTTCGAAATTTCCCAGGTAAGAATAGAGATATACCGTAATAGTTCTTCTGCATGTAGGTTGGCCTAATATGAAATGGGATTGACAGAGACATGGCCTTAAAGAGAAGAAGTGCAGCCAGCAATAATAAATTCTTCATATATAGGAGCGGCTTTGACATTTTCGAGCATATCATCTGTGTGTTTAGCCAACTATCACAATGCTCCCGCCAGGACCTGCACTCTTCCAGGACAATTAGTATCATCATGATGTACTATGCTGCTGGCTCACATTTGTTTGCAGAAGTCATCAAACAGGCTTCGCTAGATAGTGAGATGAACAATTTCACCTTATCGTCTTTGATGTTGACCTTCACACTTTATATCAGTTAGATTCGGGGTCTCAAGGGAGTGAGGGGGGGATTGGAGGGGGGAATTGGAGGGGGGAATTGGGGGGGTGGGGTCTCCATAAGTCAGATTATATGGTGTCAGAATCCTATCACCAGATTGCCTCATTTATGAAACTCTGTGTGGATTCCAGATGAAAAAAATATGCATGTCTGATTTAAAGATCAAGGCAAGGACACGGCTTGTTTTATACAAGCAATTGGCATAGAAGTCTGCACTTTCCCCTTCACCCTTTGATGTCAGAAGGGTCATAATCATTGGGAAACTCTCTTATGTGGAGTGGTTAGTGAGATGGAAGAAGACATGGCTGATGAGTCCAGAATAAAAGAACCAGGAAAACTCATCCATTCATTCATTCATTCATTCATTCATTCTTCAGTAACCTCTTTATCTTAGTCAGGGTTAAGGTAGATCTAAGGACCCTGGAGCTGTCAGACAGCAGTGCTACCCACTTTGCCAACGTGCCACCAACAAAAATTTTTTTTTTACAATTTATTCAATGTTTTTAAGTGACAATAGTTAATTCGAACACTAAAACCCATATTTTTAGGGAGCGTGTTGATGGATTACCATGATCTCCATTTTGCCTCCAGCAGTCACAGTCTACTCACAGATGGTGTATTATAAAAACAACAGCAATTGAAACAAATGACACGTGAGTAAAAGGAGTATTGCCAGAAACATCAACTGCATTAAAATCATTGTTAAATACCATAACAATGTATTGGCCTCCCCAGTAACACCGCGTTAGGAGTGCGGTCATGTAGTCGGTAGGGATGCAGATCTGGGTCAGGGTTTTCGTAATGAAGGTCAGGGGTTAAGGAGAGAGTAGACCATTCTCCTGTGCAGTCTTGTGCATCACATCACATGCCCTTACAATGCAGTGTAACATACAGTAAATAATGGCTACAAATGCAAACAATGGATGTAAGTGAAAAGTGCTTTGAGTTCCATTAAACCAGGATATGTGAGATGTACCTTGAAGGGTGGTAAAGCAGTCTCTTACTGGATGAGTCTGAACAACACCATCTACCTTTTAGCAGACCAATTGTGCACCAGACTGTGCGCATCACTGAGAAAAGACGGTAGCTTCAGAGGGTAGCTGCTTTCACCTGTAGGACTGATGTGCTGTTTAAAGCTGTTATGATATTAAGGTACAGATTTTAAAGCTCAACGTCAAGAAATTGGAGCGTAATACTTCTGCAGGGTGTCCAAAAAGTCGGGGACCAATGAGAGTAAAAGTACATATAGTTAGTTCTGTATTTATTATTTACATCATATGCTCCACCCTTACGGTCTACGTATTTTCTCAGCCTGTATCTGTATCATGTTTTTGCAGATTTTGCTCAACATATTTCCAATGGTTCCTGACTTTTCGGACACCTTGTATTAGTGTTAGTCTTACCTGTTAGTGTTAAGCCAACTGTCCCATACAGCACCAGCCTCAGGTTTGTTTCCTACAATGCTCTGTGTCAGCATAAAAGAATCATGGGCTGAGCCAGACCAATAAGCTACTACACTGGTTACAGTCATCATAGCATGGCAGATGACTTCAATGTTTATAGGAAGGAAGGAACTCATTCTCGATTGACAAAAGCAGCACAGGTCTTATATTGCTTGTTTTTCTAAAATTGGGTCAAATTCAGCACATAGTTTCAAGAGAATAGCTTTTCAAAATATTAGAATTATTAGCCAGTCATTATAATGGTCAAGAAAAGATTCATGACAAAATAGGTTCAAGATGGCAAAATAAGCTCATTGACCAACACAAATAAAGGAATAAACATGTCAAGCAAAATGCCATTTGGGTTTGAATTTTTTTAAGAACACACTGCCTTATAGAATTATTGTAAGGCTGCATAATTGGATATGATATGAGGCGGAAACGTGTGCATTGGCATGTGCATTCAGCTATAATTTGTTATTTTACCATGAGTGTCATTATTTCTCACTCTATCCAAAATGCAGTGTATAGGCCATACACATGGGTCAAAATTTGCATAAATATTTACACAATATTGTGTTAAGTATTTCTTTGTGCATCATATATGTATATAATTATTTCTATGAATCTCTATTTCTGATGAACCTATCCCTCAGTAATGCCTGCTATCCCCACTCTTACTACCACCATCAAGCTTTTAAATTGGACACCTCTCATCATTACCAGAATATAAACTTCACCTATTGTTATCTCTGCCTATTTAAGTAAATCCCTAGCCAAAGGTTCTTTGTGAGATGTTGAGTTTAATGGGTTCGTCTTAATATTCTAATTGGCACCACATCAACTCCTCCATCCTATGCTCTTCAGCCTGTGACACTGAAATCAATTAAAGTTCCTCATCATTAAGGACATATCAATTTAAACTTAGGAGTGAGGAGAAAGGAGGCTTTTAGAGCGAGAATACATGGCGCTTCCTATATTGAAGTCTTTTTTAATGTAATTAAAAATAATGGCTACAAATGAAAACATGGGAAGTGAGTCACATGTGCTTTAGTTTCCATTAAACCTGTCGATATGGAAGGTCAGTTGATATATCTTGTTAAGGCATTCAGAGTCAGGATACACAGGTGCTTCCTAAGTCTTTTTTATTGTAACATGGTATTGTGAGCAAATAGTATTAGTAGTAGTAGTAGTATCCTGGTTAGGATAAGTGGGACAGAAATTGGATGGATTGACTACTATTACTACTACACTATATTGCCTAAAGTTTGTGGACACCTATTGCCGCAAAGCATAGAATGTCTTTAGATGGTGTAGCATTACAATTTCTCTGCTTGTGCTTCACTAAAAGATAAAGATCATAAAAGCTTTTGGGTTGAAGAAGGATTTTGGCGAAGAAGATTATTCATGTTGAAGTGAGATGATATAAAAAGTGAACATCCACAAAATCAGGATTGTAAGAAATGGGACAAGACTTTCTTGGGGCTTTTGGGAGACGGTAGCACACAAGCACTTTTGAACCAAAATGGATTCAAAAATCCAATTGCTTCAGCAGCTTTTGAATGTTACAACCCTCTTTTGCACTTTTCTCCCAATGTCAGCACATCACATTCGTTTAGGACTACAAAAGTAGCAGCAATGCAAACATGCATTTTCTCAGGCTTGTGCCAAACCAAAAACCAAAATAGCAACATACAAATAATAACCCACGTTAGTAAAGAAATTCTTGGTCTGCATTATTTATATAGTTATATAATAATTTATGTAATATACTCATTGTTAATTTTGTAACTGAAGAAAGTCAGGTATTAAATATTTTCTTCTGTAGAATACAGCATTACTATGTCTTCTTATATTTCTGAAGGTAAATAATAAAGTACATCATAAAAGTTCTGTTCCTTTACTGTTGATACTGTATATACACTCCCAGTGTGAAGAAGGCTGTATCCTCTGAATACACATCAGCCGAGACCAAGTGCATCTGCCTTTGGCGCCATCTGTTTATGGGGTTTGGTGGTATTTACAGATTGACAATTTAAAATGCAATAAAACAGTGCAGCAGCAGTGCAAGTATTAAATTAGTTGGTAAGGAAAAGTGCTAGAATATGATAATAATGAACCTGTAAGTAGTAAGTCATAGGAACATCACTGAAGTTGAAGTGTCCTGTACTCTAATTTCCGCTTGTTTACAAAATCGGCAACTATGAATTACTCTCAGTCTGTGTCATGGAAACATTCTTTTAACCCTCATAGTTGATCAATTTGCTTTTTTTTATCTCAATCATGACTGACAGTTTCTTTCATCTGACTGGCATAAAGCTTAATGATTTTGTCTAGATTATACTTCTGAACACTAATGAATCATAACCGGTTACATTGACGTTTCGGTAGTTAAAATTTTCAAAGTCCGTGGTGTTCTGGTCAGATCTGATTTGTTCTTCTTTCGGCTGCTCCCATTAGGGGTCGCCACAGCGGATCATTGGTCCGCATATTTGATTTGGAACAGGTTTTTACACCAGATGCCCTTCCTGACGCAACCCTCCCCAATTCTATCTGGGCTTGGGACCGGCACTGGGAGTACACTGTCTTGTTCAACCCCAGTGGCTGAGGTCGGTTCACTGGCAGGGAATTGAACCTGGGCTGCGGCGATGAGAGCGCCATGGCCTAACCACTAGTCCTCCAGGGACCCTCTGCTCAGATCTGACTGACCGTAGAAAATGAATGGACCAGAATACAAGAAGAATATATGCAGAATAATAAAAAAAAAATCTCTGTCTGTCTGTCTGTCTCTCTTTCTCTCACACACCCACACACACACTCACACACACAACCATGCCAATGTTACTACACTCTCATGGCCACCCGTGTGCATGAACACACAAATCCACTGAATGAATTTGGAGATAAAAATTGAGTTTATTATTTTTTTACTCTGTGGCACTGTTCATTTTGCCGCATATTGTGATAGAATCTGTGTTGTTTGCAAAGCAAGTAAAGGTTGGTTGTTTAGGTCTCTGTTACTATTACTTGAACTTTTCATTTTACCTTATAACCTGATTAAATTTGTAATGCCTCAAATGCAAGTATCTTGGGTAAACTTTGATGTAGCAATCTAGCCAATCCAGTCTTTGATAATCACTGAAACAAGTTTTTTTTTTTTCTGGTCTCTGGTCTACAGTACCTCAAATAAAACATAATTTGTGCTTATTTTAGTGGTATAATTTCATTTATACAGCAGTCAGTTCCAGTCCACTAATTTGATTGGCCGAGCAGAGTTCCAAGAGTGCTTATATTTCCTATAACTGCACTGGGACGTTTCACTGTGTGCGTCACTCCACTCGTCTGTGTTCACCAAGTAAAATTCCACTTAATTGTTCGAAACTGTTACTACAGTAGAGTTAGCGACATCACCAGCGGACATGGCAAATGATACTTTTGACTTAAAATATAAAAGCTCGACAAATGAAGATGAAAAAGAAGAAGGGATGCCAATTTTACCGGAGGCACCATAATAAATTCCACAAAGGAATGTAAATCTTGTGTGGTTGCTTTTTTTTTTTTACGTTTAATGTCAATTATAGACTGCAAAGCTACAGAATATACAGTATATGCAAATCCTACAACCTTTAAATTTTACTCAGTATTTTACCTAGTCATCTCTCAAAGCCCTAACTACTGATTGGCATGATATCATTAAGGGTATGAAGTTAAAATAAAATCCATACTGAGTTACCACTTCAGAAAATTCAAGTACACTTAAACTGGTTAAAATTCTAAAGAAAATTCAGGATGTGAGGTCTTTTGGACGGTTCGTGTCAACGTCAGGAATTTCACCAACATGTTAGCAAAGTAAAAGCTAAATTAGTGAAGTGGACTGAACTGAAACCCTGGAAGAACTAACTGTTATGGTCTCTCAAAAGAGACTTCTGAAGAGAAGGAAGAACACAGAGGTAAATTAAACTAACCATTCACCTTAATCTTCACAGACTCTATAGACATACTGTATATAATAAGGCAGTAGGTTCTGAGAGACAATGGACATTGTCACAAAGCAGCTTTACAGAAATAAAATACATTCAAATTAAATTAAACCAAAATAAATTGTAAATATGTGAATTTATCCCCAAAGTACATTACATTACATTTCATAATGTAGAAACTATACACCTTTCCTGATAGAGCTAATTCTTTTTAATCATTGGCAAAAATTTTCTTCTGGAAAGCACAATATTTGTTCAGCAAATCACACACACACACATTTTCCCACCTCTATTGTCTCCACACTGTGAAGAGGTGCCAATATTTGTTCAATAAATATTGTATTAAAGTTTGAATGCTAATAACATTTCTGAATTATGTTTTTATTATAAATTGTAAAGATATGAAAAAATGTTCTGATAGTTGTAAATTGAATTAATAAAACGTGTTCAAACAATACAATAAGCTCCATCAGAAGATACGTGTCCGTTGCTCTATTCTGTTGCCTGTCGATGACACACACAAATAAAATTAGTACTGCTGATTGCCTGATCAACTTCCTATGCAGTAGTTTGATTTGGATTCAGCAATTTCTTAAAAATGAATGAGGACAAAACTTAAAATTCTCTCAACCTCTCTAGACAGTCTGGCAACTCACGTTAAATCTGAGATGCATGCCCTGTGTGTTATCCTTATATTTAATTCTTATATATATATATATAAAACTATATCAAAGCAGCTTTCATCTCAGAAACATTCTCTAATTTGGGCCACACTTCACACTGATGAATGTTTCACATGGGGGAAATATTTGTTTTCTCATGCTTTGACAAATATTGCAAAGCTTTTATGCTGGTTTACTCGCCCAGACCTCAGAAAGATGCAGGAAACTTACATATGTACAATAAATATATTTTACTCCAGTGCTGATGGCACTTCAGTGGTTACCTGTGTCATACAGAATAGATTTTAAATGACTTTTACTTGTTTTTAAACCATATATGGCCAACCACCTCCTTATACTGTGTATCAGAATATCTAAATGAATTCGCCCCAATAAAGTTTAAGATCACGAAACTTAAAAATACTTCTTTTAGCAAAATTGATAATCATCTAAAAGTATAATTCTTTAGTATAGCTTTAAATTAGATGTAATTGCACTCTTTATTATGATTATATGTGCACACAGGTCAAAATCAACAAGTATGGCCATTAAACATGAGCAGATGGTGTCTCAGTGCTCAGTGCTCGCAGAAGTGAAGTGCTTCTATGACAGTTTCAGTGCTTGCTCGCTTCACTGCTCCAAGCTACTACGTACCTTTGTGTGTACGCAGTTCACAGCACCATGTTCTCATGAGCATGTGCACTGATACTCCTCTGTGCCCTCAGATAGGATGCTCTCTATTAAAGATACTGAGTCCATAAAGACGATACTAGTGCTGTAGGAAGATACTATAGTGCCTCCTCTTGTAGAGCACAATTTGCACTTTGCCATCATGAATGGTTATTACATTTATGGTTATTAGGAGATCTTTCAAAGAGGCTGAAACTTGTAGCCAACTGCCAATCATTGAAACTGTAATGAATATGAGTAGACATCCCAAAAGTAAACATATCAGCACCAGTCAGACAGAGAGCTCAGAGCTGCAGCGGGTCAGTCAGTAGCCTAATCCATAACAGTTTCACACAACTAGTATAGCGCTCTATTAAAGATACTGATGCCATAAAATCGATACTAGTGCTGTAGGAAGATACTATAGTGCCTCCTCTTGCAGAGCAGAATTTGCACTTTGCCATCATGAATGGTGAAATACATCCAGATTGCTGTCATTCTGTTGATTAGTGCAACGACATACAGTACACTAGCACACCAGAGATGATTGCCTTAAGACAACATGGGAAGCCCAGCCCTAAAAATTCCCTAAAACTTCATTAAAATGCAGTGGGGAAATGTTGCTATATTAAATGTAATGTGTCATTAAGCAAAATCAGGTAATCAAATATCTCACTGCAAAATTGCATTGTTTGTTCATTCAGCACAAACTGTTTTCGGTGGACAGCACAGCCTGTGTGAAAATCTCCTTTGAAGCCCCCGGCACCCCACCTGCAAAAGTCCAGTGAAGCATGGCCTCATGTTCGCTGTGTTTTAATGGGAGAAAAGATTAATGCTCATAAGACTACAGGCTTTTAATATATCACTTTGGGTTCCACCCGGATGCACGGTTTCTCTGGGCGTAAATGGGAGTATCTCAATGTTTAGTGGATAGTGCACTCTTTGCTTGTCTTGTCTGGATGCACGGCTTCTCAATATGATTATTAGGAGATCTCTCAAAGGGGCTGAAACTTGTAGCCAACTGCCAATCATTGAAACTGTAATGAATATGAGTAGACATCTCAAACATAAACATATCAACACCAGTCAGACAGGGAGCTCAGAGCTGCAGCGGGTCAGTCAGTAGCCTAATCCATAACAGTTTCACACAACCAGTATAGTTTTCTATTTTATCATTGTAATTGGTAAATACTGTAAATAAATTGTAAGGTTATGTTTGATTATTTGCATTCTTTTTTTGTTTATTTATAGGGCTAGATAATCTAGCTGTCACTTCCTTCTTCAGTGAAATAGAGCAAGCTAGCTAGCAGCTTAGCTGGCAAACACTACTAATTTTGCTGATCTGATTCTGAAAAGTCTTTTGATGCTTTTACTTATGAGGAAAGACTGAGAATTAAACAGGAGGTCGGACCAGCAAATGAAACAGATGAAGCATCCCACACAGATACGTATATACTTCGAATAACAGACACCTGCACGTCCCCTATTTTATAGCCACCAGCTGCCACTGTTGCACACCGAGTATCACGTGGTATGGAAGCATTTTTAATGAGTATGCTGCATCAGACTGATACCCGATCCCAGTACTGGTACTGATACATCCCTAGTTTTAACAGAATTCCCACTCATCCCTCACTCACTTTTTAACTTCATTCTGCATTTATATAGTGTATTAGAACTTATCCTGTAAACCACCGGCTCTCAAGTAGGGCTTGGGAGCCTGGAGCCTATTCCAGGAGGCCTGGGGCACAAGGCAGGGAACACCCTGGACGGGGTGCCAACCCATCGCAGGGCACAATCGCACACACACTCACACACTATGGACAATTTGGAAATGCCAGTCAGCCTACAACGCATGACTTTGGACTGGGGAGGAAACATGCATGGGGAGAACATGCAAACTCGTACACAGGGCAGAGGCGGGATTCGAACCCCCAACCCCAGAGGTGCGAGGGATTGAATAGAATGAGTTTAATCCAAACCTCAATAACTCTTAAAACTATATATATATATATATATATATATATATATATATATATATATGTTTATATATATAATATCAACTTGGACCTTAAGTTTTCTGCCACTGGAATGTTCAGGAAAGTGATATAGCTCTAATAAAAAAGAAAAAATATATAGTACATATTTTATATATAGTACATATTCAAATCATTTTCAAAATCATATATTTCACAGTTAAAGGGCTGCCTGGCTACAAAAGTTTGAAATGTCCTTCTTGAAAAATGAGCTACTCATGTCACGTGACTTTACTTCCAAGGTTCCGATTCGCTATGCAAATCTTTTGTGACTCCGGCTCTGCTGATTGGTCCGGGATCTCACGCGCACGTTCACCTGGAACAAACCGTAGGCGCGTG